GAGCATGGTTTTCAGACCCTTCACCATTTTAGTTGCCCTCTTTTGGACACTCTCCAGTTTCTCCACATCCTTTTTAAATTATAGTGCCCAGAACTGGACAACAGTGTGATGCAGCAGCTAAAAAGGCCCACTGGTCACTTCTCTCTAGGATGAAGAGGAGTCAACCAATTACAAATCCATGTAACAGTTACCTTGTCTAGCCCACATTTTACTAGCTTGTTTGCCAGAATGTCATGGGGAACCTTGTCAAAGACCTTATTGAAAGTTGGTAATTCTATCAAAAAAAGAGATCAGATTTGTCTGGCATGACTTGTTTCTCTGGAACTCATGTTGACTTTTTGTGATTTTGTGTGTTCGCTATAATAAAACTATGATTTTCTCTGGTAGGGGATATTTACATCATGTGAGGTCCAACCCCCTCAATACAAGTGGGATAGCCCAGGCAGAAGTTCTCCACATTGAAGACTAGGGTTGTATTATAGAATCTAAAAGATAAAAAGTTGGGGCCAATTCAAAATAACCTGCATTTATCCATATGTTTTCCCCCTATGGAGGAGGAGAAAATGTATTTTACCATATTATTATGAACTAAGCCTTAACTCCAAAAGGGAAATAAACATTTCTTCAGCTTTTCTGTAAGAATTAAACACACAGTCACTTTGAACCTTCACAAATCATTATTTCTATCTGAGCTCTATGGCCCTCTTTGTGGACGTAAGAACAACATGAACAAACTTGTCTCTTGCTCAGCTGCCATATGTAGGTGAACAAAAATTGTAGCAGCTGGTTTGTGCAACTTCATGCATAGTCATGCCAAGGAAGGAAAGATGGCTCATCATTCAGCTCCCTTTCTAAAAGCCTCATTTCTCTATGTAAGTTGGAAGAAGATCAGTGGAACAGCTCTGACTCAATAGAGCCTCCAGAGGGATCTGCTGGACTCCTCAAGGGCCTACTTTGACATGTTTGCTGGAAAGTGCATGGGTGAAGTCACTCATATGTGTTCTGACCTGGCTGCTTCTATTAATACACTTTTAGAGACTGTGTGCAGAGCACCATCTGGTCTAGTTTTGTGGGATACATTCCAGTTCCTGCAGCCCAAGGGTTTGCAGAAAGTACATCTAGATGTCTGCTCACCTACCTGTACTTTTCTCTTTGCCAAGGAGACTAATCAAGTGGCCCCAGGAATTTATTATTGGCTCAGGTGAGGGAAGGTTAAGTCCTCTCTGTCCTGAAGCAGGCAGTTGTGAGCCCAGTTCTTAAGAAAGCCTCACTCAATCCAGAAAATTGTAATAGCTCTTGTCCAGTTTTAAAATACAGTGGGCCCTTGGTATCTGCTGGTGTTTGGTTCCAGGACCCTTGCTGATACCAAAATCCGTGGATGCTCAAGTCCCATTAAATACAATGGCATAGTGAAATGGTGTCCATTATATAAAATAGCAAAATCAAGGTTTGCTTTTTAGATTTTTAAGATATTCTCAAGCCACGGATGGTTGAATCCACGGATTAAAAAATTCAGTGGATATGGAGGGATGATTGTATTCCTTTTCTGGACAAGGAGCTCAGAAGGATAGTAGCAATCTAGTTCCCATCACTTTGGGATGAAACAGATAGAAACCTTTAAATCTAGGTTTAGGCACTGCCTTGAAACAGTCTTGGTCATCCGGATGAAATCTTGTTAATTCACCTCTAATGCAATCTCGTTAATTCTTTTGCCGATCTTTTGGCAGCTTCAAATGATACGAACCATGTTATCTTGTTAGACTAGCAGCTATGGTGGTGGTTCTGTTTGTACCTGCAAGGGTTTTCAGAAGGTAGCTTGGGCAGATTTCTCCATGCTCTTTATTATCTATATTAAGTTGCTGGATGAGATCATCTGGGCAATTGAGTAAGGGTTAATCAATATGCTGATGACAACCAGCAATATTTCTCTGTGTCATCTATTTGGCAATGGCATGGATGAAGTCCAATAAACTGATAGGGAATCCTGACAAGGAGCCATCATAATTTGTAGATGGTTACTGGGTTTGGGAAGTTGATATTTAAACTGGTCTGCATGGGAATGTACTTTCCTGAAGGAGCAATGCATGACTTGGGGTGGGTGTGAATGCAGATACTGCCTTATCATATGTTACCTTTCTTGGGTAAGGACAGTCTTGGTATGCTACATCATGCTCTAATAACATCAATGTTGATTTAATGTAATACATTATGTATGGGTCTACCACTGAAACATCTGATAGTCCTGATGAGAAATCTATACTTAGGACAAGAGGATATTGTTAGAACAGAACATGGAGAAACAGAATGGTTCCTAATTGGCAAAGGGGTCAGGCAAGGCTGCATTTTATCACCCTATTTGTTCAACTTGTATGCAGAAAATAATAATAATAATAATAATAATAATAATAATAATAATAATAATAATAATAATAATAATAAATATTTATTTAATACCCCGCCCCTCTGAGCACAATCATCATAAAATTCAACAGTAGTTAAGAACAAGTACCCCCCCCCCTTAAAAATGTAATTAAACTCAATACTATTTAAAAGGATATAAGGAGGTAAATACAGTGAAGAGCAGGTCTAGACTCAGAAGAAGGAAGAGAGAAGACAGGAGGAAGGAACATCAACAATGCAAAATATGTGGATGATACCATACTACTAGCAGAAAACATCATGGACATGGAACAATTATTAAGGAAGGTCAAAGAAGAAAGTGTAAAAGGTGAAAGTGTAAAAGGTGAAAACAAAAATAATGACCATAAAAGAACTATGGGCCTGTGCAGACTGCCATAAATAGTGCAAATTGAGTTCACTTTAACTGCCCTGACTCAGTGCTAGGGAATATGGGAACTGTAGTTTATTGTGGCACCAGAGCTCTCTGACAGAGAAGGCTCAATGTCTCAGAAAAAATACACTTCCCATGATTCCCTAGCACTGAGCCAGGGCAGTTAAAGTGGACTCAATTTGCACTATTTCTAGCAGTCTGCAAAAGCCCAATATAAATTCAACATAGGCAATGAGGAAATCATAATAGTTAAAGAGTTCCCATCTTTAGGGTCAAACATTGATCAGAATGGAGACTGAAATCAAGAAATAAGAAGGAGACTGAGAATGGGAAGGGAAGCTATGAAGGAACTAGACAAGATCATAAAGAGTAAAGATATACAAATGAACACTAAAATTAGGATCATCCAAGCCATTGTATTCCACATCACTGTAAAGAGTATGAACGCAAAAGCTGGACAGTAAAGAAAGCAGATAAGAGGAAAATCAGCGCATCTGAGATATGGCACTGGAGAAGAGTGCTAAGAATACCACTGACAGACAGAAAGACAAACAAGTGTGTCCTTGAGCAGATAAAGCCAGAAATTTCCCTGGAAACCAAGGTGATCAAATTGAGGCTGTCATACTTTGGCCATCATGAGAAGGCAATACTCATTAGAAAAGACAATAATGCTGAGGAAGGTTGTAGAAAGATAGGAAGACCACATGCCAGATGGATAGACTCAATCAGGGAGGTCATGGGCATGAAGCTATAAGACTTAAGCAGAACAATGGAGTTAGGGGGGCTTGGGGATGTTTCATCCACAGGGTTGCCATGAGTCAGGAACAATTTGAGGGCAGTTATCAACAACAAAACTACCACTGAAAACAGCTTAGTAGTTGCTACTTTGAAATTTAGCATAATTTAGCATTCTGACTGATTTTTCCTAATATAGCCATATTACAACAATAATATTATCATTAGACCAATTGGTTTCCTATCTGTTGCTGAGCCAAATTTAGGATTATTATCACTTTTAAAGCTTCAAATGACTTGTACCCAAAAACCTGGAGGAATGACTCTTTTATCATCCTGTGTTTTTATTAAAATATTCAGAGCAGTTCTTTCTTTGAGAATCGTCACTGAGGGATGGCTTTATTTTCATTGCCAAATTAAAAGTTCCCCCTTTTTTTTGCCCAAGCATTTTAAAATCCAAAGATTATTAGATCTCAGCTTTCACATGTTTTCCCCAGGGCAAAGAAAATCTGTTTGCAAACATACCTTGGTTTACTTCCCTAAACTAATATGTGGTCTACAAGGTACCAGGAGGGTTCCCTTTTCTCATGCCCAGGCTTCATTCCTTGCCATCAACAGTCATGGAAAGCTGATTTAACTGCTTTGAGAGTCTGCCCAGGCTGAAGTGGTATATTTGAAACATCATTTTATAGTCTTCTGAACAGCATTTTTAATGGGATGTTAGATGTCATTCTATCTTCATCCTCGCATATCCAGGAAGTACTTATGAGTTCTATTAATGATAGACACTATCTGATTGCTGAAACTGTACACATGTTCCTTGCTGCAGCTACAAGAATAAATTCACATATTCTAAACTGAGCAGTTTTGAGTTTATCTGATTCCTTTTTTTCCAGATTCTTTTTTTGTGTGTGGTAATTTTGTATTAACTTTGTTAATCCACTGTGTAATATGAATGAAATTGATATGTTATGGAATGGACATACTATTATTTCCATTTCACCTTCATGCCCCTTATGTCGGTTTATGGTCTCTGGATTGAAAATGTCAGAGGTGACTTTCTCAGACCTCTGGAAATTGTTCAGCCTTGCTCTGAATGGTCTGGAGCCTTGGCATCTGGAGGGACCACCTTCTCTCACATTGTCTCTGCTGCTGAGATGCCCACAAAGGCCTTTTTCTGTGTTCCTTGATTTTGAAGATAAGACACTAAGAATTGGGGACAAGGCTTTCTCCGAGGATATCTGTTTGGTGCTATAACATCACAAGTCTATTTTATGCACCATTGCATATGCAAGATACATATGCAAGGCAGAGAAGAGTGTGAAATGAAAACTGGCAGACTATCTCTCTGTGTGGCAATCCTAAGGCGACCCTGTTATGGGGTTTTCTTGGCAAGATTTATTCAGATGAGGTTTGCCATTACCTTCTGAGGCTGAGAGCATGTGACTTGCCCAAAGTTGCTCAGTAGCTTTCATGGTCGAGCTGAGAATTAAACCCTGGTCTCCAGAGTTGTAGTCTAACACTCAAACCACTAAGCTACACTGGCTCTATGTGTAGTAATTTGAACAAAGTAAACAATAAAATAAAAAAATAAAACTTAAATATGGTGGATTGCTATTCTAGGAGAAGTACTGATGCAAAATGAAATGATTTAGATACCCAAAATCTGGGAGAAATTTAGATAGCATTAATACTATAAACATCCCTACTCTTAACAGTCTTCCAATATGAAGAAATGATTTGCAAACAAAGATGATACAATTTACTTTAAAAAACAAATCATAGAACATGATTTGCTTAATTTTACAATGCCTAAGCCACTGTAAGAATGTTTAAGCTACTATTCAACTGTATGTCTTGGGTGCGTGTAAATGAATATATAGCTATCCCTGACCATAGCTAATTGATCTGAAAATCTGCCATAATAATAATAATAATAATAATAATAATAATAATAATAATAATAATAATAATAATAATAATAATAATAATAATAATAATAATAATAATAATAATAATAATAATAATAATAATTTATATCCTGACTCTCTGTAAAAACAACCAAGGCAGCTTACAAGATAAAATAAACAATTCCTTCCCCCAATAGCCCATTCCTCCTTAAAATGCAATTAAACAAACAAAATATAAAAACATAATTAAAATTACAAATAATAAATAATTTAAAATGGCTAAATGGAAATCAGGGACAGGCTTAACTGTTTTCAGTGGCCGGTTACCTACTCAGGAAAGGCAGGTCATAAGAGATTCATCTTAATAGCTTTTTTAAAACTGTTTAAGGTGGTCAAGTGACGGATCTCATCCAGAAGGCCTTTCCAAAGTCTGGGAGTGATAGCTGAAAAGGTCCTCTGGGCAGTTGGAGATAATCTAATTTTTATAGGTTGCAATAAATTCTTCCCAAAGGACCTTAGTGCATGGTGGAGCGATGCAAAATTTCCAGAGTATTAGTTTTTGTCCAAATGTTAACAACCTCAATATACTTGAATATAGCTGTTCCATAGTGGTTTGAGCATTGGACTATGACTCTGGAGACCAGGGTTCAATTCCTGATCAGCCATGGAAACGCACTTTGCGACCTTGAGTGAGTCACAGACTTTCTACCGCAGAAAACCCTGTGATAGGTTTGCCTTAGGGTCAACATAAGTTGTAAATGCACACTACAACAAACAACTGTTCTACTCTTGATAATATGTATATCAAATTTACAAATGCAAGCTTGTTCATTGATGCATTGGTACAACTCAAACCTCTGCTGAGCGAGAGCTGAGATTGGAGTCCTCCACACTAGATGATGAGCTATTGTTTAATTGCTAAACTTTGGAGCAGAATGGAAGGCCTATGGCCATTCAGAAATTCATGAACTACTACTTCCACCAACCCTCACTACTGGCCAGGATGTTGGGAGCTGATGGGAACTGGAATCCATGACCATCTGGAGCCACAGGTTTCCTAGCCCTCCTTTAGTGAAAACTTACTACATATAAACCATGAGCACACTATTTTGTCCATATTATTGCTGACATCATTTGAGAGTAACATCAGTTTCAAAAAATGAAAAATCTTCCTGATCTCTTTTTTTTTAAATGAGAAAAATTATGAATGTTCTAATCAACTTTAGTTTAGGGAGAAATGTCATAGCTTATTCTTCTTTAAGATACTAGTTTTACTACTTCAATATGTTTAGGAATCTTTGCATATCATGCCACACTACCTCAATGTAGGGACTGAACAAAGCAATAAAACGGGTTTAATATGTTTTTGATGAGCTCATTTGAATTGCAGGAAAAGAGTCACGAGAGTATTCTGTAGCTTCTGAAATACAACTGGATGTGAATGTCTGTACATGTACAATTTTAGCATATGCACTGCCACCCACACTGTACCATGGATTAGAGCCACTGCTGTTAATGCTTCCCCCCCCCCCCCGTATGCAACTTGTATTGCAACAGCAACACATGATTTTGCAATAATTGAGCATAGACTGTCTCTCTTCTTTCTAGATATATAGAGGTGGCTTACACTGGCTCCAAAACTATAAGAAAGTTTAAGAGGGCTTGCTGATAAAAACAAGATGCACACAAAGCTAATTTTATAATTTAGTTCTTAATATGAGATACTTAGAACATGAAAAGCATAGTACAATATTGCCCTCCACTGGCAAGAATCTATCTATCTATAAGGTGATTCAAAAAGAATGGTGCAAAGCCAAGTAAGAATGGTTTTACTTTTGTATCATTCTTTTTGGACCACTCTGTATTTGTCTACAGATATAGATATAAAGTGTTTCACTATTTGTTTGTTACAAGCTCTTTTTTATCCTCACAAATTTCTTGGCACCACTTAGAAACCATATAACAATTATACACAATCCAGAGATATTGCATTAAGGAGCACTGTTGCAATTGTGGTCTAACTATTTTATGGTAGCATCATTTTGACTCTGCTTTTCTTAACAGAGACTTGAACCTCCTTTGCATTATACTAGTTTATGGCTCCTGTTGGGAACTCATGATGAATTGCATGGGGAACTCTAGATGAATTTATATCATGTTCCATGAAACGTGGTACTGTCAAATTTGAACTCTATTAGAGAAGCTGTTCATTTCATGGGGATTTTATGATGTGAAAGACGTTAACCCAAACCTCATCGGCCTCATTTCACATAAATGGCTGCACAGTGTCCAGCAGTTTTCAACTGCTACTCAACACAGAAAAGTAACTTTAAAATTTTGCAGAAATATTTACATCAATGGGATTGTAAACATTATTTCAAAATGTTCATCATTTGAGCTTTTCAGTTCCATATTTTTGCAGTGACTTTGATTATTACTAGCTAATGTTATGTATAACTTTGTGCAAAATACTTCAGCAATTCTCTCATTCAGACTAACATTTCGATGACAGCAGGAAGCTAGTATTATCACTATTTTTTCCACTACTCAGCACAATGGATTGGTTTGGAAAAGTAATTCTTGAAAGTAATATTTATGTCTAATTCTTGTGGTGGTCATTTATGAAATCATACACTACACTGTACTCCAGTTTTTCAAAACCAAAAATGGAGTTTTTGGGTTTACCCCCCCCGCCCGTGCCAAATGTGGACATTTATTTATTTATTGGGGAAGGAAGATAATTTATATCCTGCCTTTCTCCCAAAACAGGATTCCAAGCAGTTTACAACTATCTAAAAAACAAAAAACAAAAAACAAAAAACAAAAAAACAACCCCCCTCCAAAAAAAAACAACCTAAAACATCAATGACAAAAGTTAAAATATAATTAAACATAATATTAATAATATTAATACTAATATTAAAACATGACTTCAAATCAGCATAGTTGAAACTGTTTTAAAAATAAAACCATTAAAACATTAAAAGAGCACAGCACATTTCACAAACAAAATTCAAAATTTTTGACAGCCCATGTGTCTGTCCCCTGGAGACTCCCTGGGCCGAAAATCTCTCCCCAGATCTGCTGCAGTTACTTACTCTTTTGCTAGAGCTACGTATATTGTATTTGGTGGGATCCCACCTACCCAGTATGGAATTACTCTCCTCAGTCCCTAGACTACCACCGCAGTGGAGGAACCAAGAGGAAGAGAGAAAAAACTAAATGAGATCAAGTTCTTGTGAATTTGCCATGCAGACAGGTAAGACTTCATATGGACCTTATCCCACGGGGCCAAAAGCAGCAAGAATCCACTAAGAATCAGGCGCTATAGCGCTATACATTCCTGGGTGATCACACGACGTCGCTCAGAATGCACTAAGAATCAGGCGCTATAGCGCTATAGTTTTCCGGGTGATCACACGACGTCGCTCAGAATCCGCTAAGAATCAGGCGCTATAGCGCTATAGTTTTCCGGGTGATTACACGACGTCGCTCAGAATCCAACAAGAAACCGCTCGGAATGCAGCATCATTCGGGTTCTTTTGAATGTCGGTTTCAGCGGGCATTGCAATAGCGCTAGCTTATCCATAGCGCTATTATAGCGCTAGCGCCATATTTATACTAGCGCTATAGTACTGCAATGATGCTCATATCGCTTTCTTGCCACTTTTGAGAGCAGCGTGGGATAAGGTCCTATGACTGGATATATTCCCAGGATATATAATTCTGTATATATAATTACAATTTTGTTAGGTGAGGAGATAAGATTTCTGAGGCACAGAGATGATGACTTAGAAACATAAACTTCAACCTCAAAGTCAGATTTATCTGATAACATGTGATGAGATCCCATGACAGTGGTGAGTTTTGATTGTGATTTCTACCATAAAAGTAGCAATTGGGCTTGTAGACAATGCTATCCATTTCTTACTATCAACTGGTGGAGACTCTAATAACAGAAATTATATAAGCAGTGTGTTACCAAGTTTCCACTGATTCAACAGGTTAACATTGATGATAAAAGCTAGGGTAGGATGAAAGGCTGAGGCAGGGACCTATTGTAACACAGCACTCCTAATGTTACTTGTGTCTGTTCAAGTGGTGCGTTGGTTGGTAAGAGTAATACTATAGTTAGAAGCTGCATTTGTAAAAGCTGCCTGCCAGATCCTGATCAGGTGGCAGAGAGCAGTGCCTTGATCAAAAAGTGTTTACAAATTCCATTAACTTAGTTTAGGATATGGGGAGAGAATCCAGTAGACATACAGCCATTGAATTGTCAGGATGGTGTGGTGGTAAAGATGCACTGGGAGAGAGAACAGCTGAGTCAATATAAAAAAAAATGGCAGTATGATCATGCATCTGCCAGTGGAGGATACGAGGTCAGGGGTGAGATCACAACATAGTAGACAATGATCCCATACACCGTGTGGAGATGGATGTCATGGGTCATCAAATTGGTCCATTCAAGGATAGTGTCAAATCTTAGGTTTGTGCACAGATGCCCTGATTTGGTGGATTGATCTTGCATTGGAGAACAAATTCAGTTCCTTCTAGAGCAGTATAAATGTTGAGGTGATCTAGTGTAGAAGCAGCTACATGCCTTTGGAACTCTAGAAGAGAAATGGTAAGTTGGTGC